TGAACCAGGCTTTTTATCCAGCCTAATTGCTGGTGAAGGGGAGAGTATTCACGTGTGTGGCTGTGGTGTGTGCCTGTTTGCAAGCATGGTTGCAGTGTGTGCATAGTGCTCACAATAGTTCATCCAGTTTGCAAATGTGCCCATGGGCACAAAAAAGTTGGCGACCCCTCTACTAGTTTGACAGAAGGTATGGAGGTTGATGTTGATTGGAAAAACAGCACAAAGAAAATATGTTGAACATACCCTACCCTTTCCCTCCTACTGCTTTTTACCAACTGGCAGACCTCTTCCTCATGGCTATATTTCACTAAAAAGAAACGGAGGGGAGGTGGGAATCACCCATGTATCTCGCAAGGCATGGGGCTCGACTCTATAAGGGTGCTTGCTAACAGGCAATTGTCTGAAGCAAAAAGTGGTCACTGTTGAATTAAATTTATTATAACTATAATTTGATAATTAATAGGTTATAAGCAATGGAACTCAAAACCACGAGTAGTCAACTTAGATTAAAAGGGACTCGAGGGACTTTTATGCCCAAAGGCTTTACATGTTTTGAGATATGGAATAACGCAACCAGTACTTTCTTCTGTACACAGCAATGGCTAAAAAAACAGGTTGTTGCAAAAGGCAGCTTCTGGATTGGCCTCACGGACTCAGTGAAAGAAGATGAATGGCGATGGCTGGATGGAACCTTACCAGAATATATGTACGTGTAGGAAGGATATGAATTGTTCTTTGTTTTTGCTACTGTTCTTGCTATTGGATTTTTTATTTGTCACCATGCAGACAGGATGCTGCAGATGGGAAAGATTGCTGCAACCCTCTGAAGAAATGCTTTGCCATGAAATGTTGTTATCTTTTGCTCTTCTATACTCAGGCTTTCTCTCTGTTGTATTCACAAGGTTTTATTTTCTTGCCAAAAAAGAAGATGGATCATTGAGTAAAAGAATCACAGAACCATAATAAGCCAAGTTTGTTATGGAATTTTATTGCAAACTGGGGATAGAGTAATCACTTTTTTTTTCTTGGACTCATTCTTCATTTTTTAATAATTTGTATTACAACTGCCCATAAAGAGAGGCCATAATGTTAGAGGAAAATATTCTCTATTATTTTCATTGAAACTTACTAGAAGATGAAACTGAGCAAGCTCCTTTTAAACTGTAATCAGGGTGTTCAATGTTTCATTTAGGGCCAAAGTTGGATCACAGAAACTGAAATCTGTTATTCCCACCAAGTGAAATAATGCCTGTCTCCTTCAGTCACAATCTGTCTAACATTTGGCACTTTGTTAAGGATGTAACACAAAATTGGCTAGTGCTGTCTTATCTTGATGAAATCCCCAGTTACTTAATTGAAATCACCTTCCAAAAACAAGCATAACTCAACATGAAGTTAATTCTTTGAATTCTCAGTGTTCTAGATCTTTGAAGATTTAGTATTCAATCTTTAAGAGCAAATGGCCATGTGAAGTCAACAAAGGTGATACCTCTAAATTCACATTCTGTGTCTCTCAACACATCCTGAGCCCTTCGTATCTTTCTGTGAATCCTATGTGTATATAAATATTAGAACATAGTATCCTTCCACTTCTCTTTAACCCCGTCAGGTTAGCAGGCTTTTTATTGAATTTTCAAAAAAGAAATGAAAACAGTCAAATAATACAAGCTAAATTAGAATAAATCAAGTCCAGACCAAATCAGTGGTTAGACATCCAAGCAAATAGACTTGTATGAAGAGCCTATATATTAGGGAACTTCCTATCTTCATTGTGTTTATGGAAAGTCACCTTCTCATCTGCTGCCAGTTGAGTCATGTCCTCTGTCCGCAGTATGATGGGGAGGGGGGCAGGTGGAACAGACTGCTGCTTCCAGTATTGAAGCATTAGACATTTATCCACCATGAGTGCCTTTAGAAGCAGTTAAATTATCCTTCAATAGAATATTAACATCTATAAATCAGTGAGCTATGCTTGAGGTGTGCCATCTCTGGATAGAAAGGCAGAGGAAAGCATATTTTAGTTTATAAATTATAAATATGCTGTGCTTGATTCTAATACAAAGGGCTCACATTTTTGAGAATCTGCCATAGTATGTGGGGATAAAGTATATAGGGCTGTATAGTGGGAGTTTGCTTGCATATTGCATGGGAGGTAAGGAAGTGGACATGATAATACTGCCCAAGTCACATAAAAACAAAATATGAACTAAGTTTAAATATGAGAGTTTTAAAACCGTACCTAACTTGCAGTTTCACAGGCAGAAAGCCAGGCACGCAGAGCTGTTCCTACTTTGTATTGAGCCACAGATTGAAACTGTCTTCATTTTTAGTATAGAGTGCAATTTAGGGAAGTACACTTGCTGTTTATCATCTGAAATCTGGGAGGGTCTGATTTTATCTGAATCCAAATTGCCAAACACAGAAGGCATAGACACATGTGACTTTTTATGCAGCACCTCTGAACTTTTTCCAATGTTTATCTTATGTTGTATTTTGCATGTTCCTTTGTGATCTAAAGACCAGCAGTTACTTCAGCTAAATGTAATTTTTTCCCCCTAGTAAACTTGGTGCCTTCCCAAAATGTTACTCAGAGTCCATGAGCTCGACAAGCATGTTCTTGAATCCTTATATTATTTAGCTTTGGGTGCTGTGCCATCCACTTCAGCCAGCAACCACAGCCCTGCACTTAATAAGCTGTTTTTTCAACACAGATGATCCTTTAAAATCCTGAGATTGGCAGCACAGTCCATTTAATAAATCAAGTGATTTTGGGCCCATCATGTAAAATTTTCAGCAGAATACTAACTTACTCTGTAAAGGCTAAAGGACTTTAAAAATTGTTAGGATTTTTGTTCATTTCCAATCTGAAATGTAATTTGCTACGCAAACAGTATATTTTTCTTCCAAAGGTGCAAAAGAGCGTTGAAGAATCATATGCAGAAAAGCCATCTTTGTCCAAGTGTTGGCTGGTTAAATGTGAATATGCCTTGGGTTTATGGTATTTCAAAACTCTTATTTTCTGCTTCTTTCCGTGTATTGGATAACAAGAAACTACCAGTTTGCTTTGATTTGGGGATGCATATGCAAATCCAGCAGTAAGACATCCTTATGTCACAGTAGCTTATCTGCAGCTGCAGAGGAAGCAACTAAATGCTGCCCCATGACTACTCCATCCCCTTCTTATGCATCCTTGTCCATCCCCAATCAGAACAAAGTTCATTGGACTAATTTTAGGTCTCTGAGCTTCAGCAGCTTGTTGAATTGATTCTCTTCTCTGCAGCCCAGATGTTTTCCATTTCCAGGAAGAGTCATGCATTGTTTGTTAGAAGGAGTATGATTTCTTCTCAGAACAGACTGTCGTTATTTTGTTTTTTGTTTTTATTATTCTCATCTGTCCCAGTATCACATGATGGTTTTGCTATTTGTTTTGCGGAATGATCTATTTTCTGTTTTGTTGAAAGAAACTGGAGCGCTGGACAACCCGATAACTGGAAACATGGCCATGGACCTGGGGAAGATTGTGCTGGGTTAATCCATGCTGGGCTTTGGAACGACTTTCACTGTGAAGATGTTAACAGTTTTATTTGTGAGCAGGAGATGGACAAAGGTATGCTAGAACCTTGACTAGGATCAATTCTCATTTGCTACAAGGGCCAAACCCCAAGCCAAGTTTAAACAGCTGGAAAAAGAAGGGACCTAGTCCTCTATGCATATGACTAGTTGGTTGGAAGCCCTTAGAAGAGGATCGCAGTTCAACCCAGTCACGTACAGATCAAAGCTTATTTATAGTTCAGTTTCTGTTGTTCAAGCCATTGAGGTTTTAAGGTGCTGGCAGGAATCCAGAGACTGTACAGCCCCTCTAGTTCCCCTTCCACACTTTGGAAATATGAGCTCCATGTATTTTGCACAGTTCATGTCCAAAAATATACCCACCTCTTCATGAAGCAAAATCTATACAATAGATTTCTCTTTCCAAGTTACCACATAAGGACACCTTGATGCATGTTCAGGATTCAGAAATGCAAGTATAGCTTTAGCCACAACAACCTGGGGTATATACCGTCCACAAGATTCAGTTTCAATACCAGAAGGCACAGATTCAGTATAAAGTGCTTTGAAGGCTGTTCAGTTTAGTCCAAATCCCAGTTCAGTAAACTGAATAGTCTTTCCCATTCACTATTATTGAAAAATTTAAAAATAGTTGTAACTTTTTATCCTTTGGAAAGAATTAGATGAAATTTTCAGACATAATAGCCTCTCCTGAATGCATAAAGTCCAATGAATTACATTTTTCCAGGTTTTATGTTTTGTTTTGTTGGGCATCTTTACATGTTTGCTTTGTACAAGAAACAAGTGTTGATTTTTTTAAACTTTTTTTTAACTTTTGGGCAGAATTGGATTAAATTTGCATGCCATTAGCCTCTTCTGATGTGATGAATTATGTTCTTATTGTTTTTTTAAAAACAGAAATTATTTTAATGCATTGCTTTTCCTTTCCTGCTTTAGCTGAAGCTCTGGGATTGTAATAGGCTGTGAACCTTATAAGAGACACAAATGAGTGAGATTTCCTGAATGATGAAGTATCCTCTGGGACAGAACCATCACCCAACCAAAAGAGGGAGCACTGAGAACATTGATGAAAAAAATTCATCAGCACAATTCGTCCGCATTATCTTCTAATTTTTCAGGGGCTTTACAACGTTGCAGAAACGCATCAATTGGGAATACAATTGGACTAAACCAGCTATAGATCCTCTTCAACCATAAAACATACAGATGCTGAAGATTTATAAAACAATGGACTATGCCAAGATGACTACAAATCATGACTTTTCCACAGGAAGAAAGAATACAAACCTACTGTGTAAACACAATAGCCACTTGCTAAAATCCCAAATACTGGCAAATTATATAAATATACATTTATAAATATATATAAATTTTATATATAAATATATATAGGCCAATTCTGATCAGTAATATAGAATATACTTTTAAAATTTTTGTATTTTTGTACAAAATATTTGCTTACTACAATGGTCTTTTTAACTGCCTTTTTATATAAATATAGTACACAGAAGCCAAAGAAAATAGCAGTGATACTACTTATAATTCACTAGAAATGATTGTCAGGTATAAGTCTCATCAGTTTAAAACATAGTTTTGTTTTATAGATAAATATTATATGCCAGATAAATTACCCTAGTTTAATAACTTTTGAAGTTGACTGTAGGAGGCATTTGCCGTATTTTAGCAGTCATCACCAATCTGGTGCCCTTCACATGTTTTGGGGCATAGCAGTGCTGGCTGGGACTCATGGGGATTCTAGTGCAAAACACCTGGATGCCACCGCATTGGCTAAGCCCAGCATAGAGCAAGTTGTGATCCCAAAGATAGATATGATGCTGTTTTCTAATACCATTTTTCTGATTTGGTTCCATTTCATGGGATGGAATGACTGCAAGATACGCAGAGTAAACCATGTACGGATGGGAGCCTAGCAACTGCTACAGTGCTGTCTTCAAAGAAGTGAGGTCACCAATGTGTGCAGAGGCCAGAACTCAGTAGCAGAGCAGATTCTTTGCATGCAGAAGGCCTCAGGCTTAGTCTCTATTATTTCCAATTCAAAGGATCAGTAGATAGTGATGGGGATGACCTCTGCTAAAGACCTTGGACAACTACTTATTCTGGGCCAGATGGACAAATAGTCTCAACTGTTTTAAGGCAGATTCCTACATATCTCCTTCCTATCTAGAAGGTTTCTGCTGCCAAGAACTCAACTGTAATACAGAGAAATGGAAACGTAAGGCCAAACTAGACAGTTCATGCAGTTCAATGTGTGTAACTTGTCCTCAATGTCTTTTGGGTTGGTTGGTTGGTTGGTTGGTTGGTTGGTTTGCTTACTCCAAAAATATTTGAGAGGAGCTAATGGGCAATGGAACAACAGTACCCTTTCCTTTTTAGCCATGTTTCCACTCCAATCAGTTCCTCCAAGCTGCTCCTCTTTTCTCGGCAGGGAAGAATGGCGTCTTACGGGATAGATTAAGTGCCTCCTTTCCCAGTGCTGCTCCTCTGCTACTTGACAACCATTCCAAAAGGGGTTTGAGTGCTGTTGTTTTTTAAAGACACTGAAGAGAACTTATATGCATCTGCTTCTAGTTTGGTCCTCAGCTGGCACAAATACTGGCATTAAGACTTCCTGTGCAAGCATAATGTTCAGGAATGAATTTTGCTTCAAGTAGATTTTGTGCTCAAAATAAATGACATGTCGCACATTTTGACCTTCATGAGAGTTACGTGAGGTTTGTGCATGGATGGCACCATCCAACTGTTTGTGTGTGTTTAGATTTGCTAGGAATGGCTTGTGATCGAAAGTTCACAGCACCTAAAAGGGATTCCTTTTGTCATGCAGCAAGCAAACTGATCATGTGCAGAAGCAAATGCAGACCACAAGTTTGACATCATATCTAGACAAAGGAGGAGGACAGAAAACATGGCTCGTTCCAGAAGGAGTCTCTAGCCAGAATAAGTCTCCAACCATTCCTTGTCATGTTCCTTTTCCCATTCATTTGGGAAGCTATTACATTCTGCACTCTGTAATCATGCCAACCAAGATAAACAATGAAAAACAATGTGCAACTGTGAAACCAGAATACCAGAATGCTTTGGCTTCTTTACACAAACAATTCTAGAGTAAATTCAATATTCATGGCATAGCAGACAAGACTAGCCATTCTAAAAATCACTTACTGCACCATACCTACCTTTCAGTCTCCTGCCTGACCACTGTTCTGCCATGTCTTGCTCTGCCTGATCAATTATGGGACATCATGACAAGTCACAGGGCTCACAAAATATTTACACTATTCGTTTTTTAAAATATTTCAGGGAATATATTTAGGAGTAGAAGGAAGTTCAGAACAGCTTGCAAGAGGCCCTTTCTCTGAGGAATTGTTCCTTCAGTCAAGCCTGCAGTTACTGTTTCCTAGAGATTGGTGCCATCTGTTCCCACACAGATCCGACCAGTTCTGTACGATGCAGCTGATTAATCTGCAGACAATTCACACAGGGCCATATGAGTTGGGCTGACACTGCGTTAGTTGAGCACATGCTGAAGTGATCATGTGCTCAATGTACGCTTTTAGCAGATTTGTGGTACCATGGGAAATGTCAAATGAATGCAAGGTAGCTACATACTGAAGCCATAATACAGAATGCATGTACACGAAAGCTCATACCAATAACAAACTTAGTTGGTCTCTAAGGCAGTGTTTCCCAACCTTGGGCCTCCAGCTGTTTTTGAACTACAATTCCCATCATCCCTGACCACTGGTCTTGCTAGCTAGGGATGATGGGAGTTGTAGTCCAAAAACAGCTGGAGGCCCAAGGTTGGGAAACACTGCTCTAAGGTGCTACTGGAAGGATTTTTTTAAATTTTGTTTCAAGCTTTAATAATAAACAGAGAAAATTCTAACAAAATAGCATAATGAGAGAAACTAAAACAACATCATGGGGCAGGTCTGAGACAAGAAATGAGAAGAGGCAGTTGATCCCTCTTAACTGACATTCATAACTAGACACACACTGGAGGGGCTGATTCTGGAGCAAAACACAAGCCCCACCCACCAGATACCAAGCACTCTACTATTCAAATTAGGCACCAGTGTTTTTCTTACAATAACAACATGTTATTATAGTATCCCTAGAAGTATGATGGAAGCCTTCCAGGGATAATTGCAAACATCTCCATGTAATGATTACAATACCTTGGCCTTACTGTAGAGTAGGGTACAGACAAATTATTTTGGAGAAACAACTTTATGCTTTCTCTGTCCCCAAAGAGCTATCAATGTCTCCAGGTTCTCCTAATTGCATTTGGCTCTGTGTGTTTTGGTTCACCTTGTGTCTGTATGAACCAAATGCATTACAGTATTTTGGATGATTTCACTGATGTGATCACATTAACAAAGTTGAAAAACTTAAAAGTTTATACTCATTGAGAGCAAGGTCAAAGTATGCAATCAGCCTAAAATACACAGTGAAATGCAGAAATTCCATAGTAAAGTTACTGAAGACTGTTTTGTTTATGTACCAGTTGGAATTCAGTATTAATAAGGCTGTAAATGCCTTATGCTAAAGAATGTGTGTTTTTGTAACTCTTGCTAGAAACCAGAAGGAAATTACTTAAAGAACTACAAAAATCTGTCAGTCATTTCACAATTAATTAGAGTGTCAAATTACTTGGAAGACGAGGCTTTTTAAAAACTGAATCCCTTCATTTGCCATAAAAAGATCTTCCATTTCTCTTCATGTAATAAAAATGTAAGAATGTCATTGTGAAGTTCTCCCCATTGAAGGATTTGTGGTACCACATCACAATCTTGGATTTGCATGAAGTCAGGGCCGGATAAGGGAGCAAAAGTGAAGGCAGGTTGCATAGCAGCATTGAATCAAAGCAAGGAGGCACACAAAGAGGGGGGGGAGTGGTTTAAAGCAACAGAAGTTAGAGTAATGCATGGATGGAAGAAATGGAGAGGGAAAATGGCAGTTTTATACAAAGGCAGAGACTTGAATGAAGCAAGGATGGAGGGTAACTGAGAAAAGGTGCCTATTTTAAACACTGGCAGAAGTTTGAGTAGAGCAAGCAGGGGGTGCTATGGGGGGAGTGGCACTTTAAAACAAGGTCTGAATACAGTGGTACCTCGGGTTAAAACTTAATTCGTTACGGATGTCCGTTCTTAACCTGAAACACCACTTTAGCTAATGGGGCCTCCCGCTGCTGCCGCCTGATTTCTGTTCTCATCCTGAAGCAAAGTTCTTAACCTGAGGTACTATTTCTGGGTTGGCGGAGTCTGTAACCTGAAGCGTCTGTAACCCAAGGTACCACTGTACAGCGAGAAGGGAGTTTGGAAAAACTCAGTTTGATAACTTGTTGGTCTTAGCTCCTGATTTAGAAGATAAACCTCTCCTCTCTTCTGTCTTTTCTTATATCTGTATTTCCTCTTTTCTTTGCACCCTACCCATTCTGTTTTAGGAACAGGGGTGGAATAGGTACAAGATGGGCGGGGGGAACTGTAATCAGATTGATTATTTATTTAAACCCATTTGAAAATAACAGTAGAAGTAATAAAATGCTATTTGCAATGTTGCATAGCAGATGATAATCTGCATAACACATGATGATAAGCCTAAAGGGACAGGTCTTTTTTCTTCAAAAAAAAAAGTTTTATGGTGATAAGGCTTTTTCTCATAACAAGATATTAACTACCATATATGGTGTAAATCAAAGCATAAAACATATTCATGCTAACTAGAAATCAGGTTACTATAGTGTGGCTTGTCAAGTATTCTTATTGTCTTTAAAGATAAACGGCTTTCCTTTGCACTATTCTCGCATGACCACTTTGGAAATACTGAGTAAGCTGCTTAAACTAATCAGGTGATCTCTTATGCGTAATCCAGTCAAAGCAGAATGAGGTAGTAGAATTGTGAGTCAGTGTGGGACAAGAGATTTTGGAAAACAAATGTCCTATGTCATTTCCTGAGGGGAAGAAATGTAAAAAAATGAAATGAAAAGGATGCCTAAATGAAAGCCTCATAAAGGGTTAAAAGAATAACTATGGGCCAAGATCCATAATTAGCTGTATAGTGTGTATGCCAAGCAAAACTAAGGAAACTGGATTTTCTTTGATATCCATGAAGTAAAACCTCCCAGCCTATGGATGTACATACAATGGATTCCTAAAAACCTCTATTGTATAATAGGGAAGGGGGACAGGCTGAAATAAAACATGTGTTGTTATTGTTGTTTTTAACAGCAAGCCTACTTTGAGCTTCAGCAGAAAAAGCAAATTATTGCTGCTTTTTTTTTTTGCTTATTATAATTATATTATATATATATATATATAATATAAATTATATTATAATATTATAATTATAATTATAATACTTGTATTATACAAGTACTGAAACAAAAATTATCAAGGGATTGGCCCTTTTTAATGCATTTGGCCAGTTTTTGCACACTTTTATTTTTCCCTTTGGTTTATTAAAGCAGGCAACAAAATACAAGACCAAGTGGGCTTGGTAGATCACAAGCTTGTGTAGGGCTGTATTAGTCATTATTCAGGTTAACAGAAGCATAGGTCAACCCTCATTTTCCTGGAAGAGTACAACTGGCATATTAGGTGTAACTGATAAAATGCACTCTTGTTACAGCCAATGAAAGCCTCAAGCCCTCTCTCTGTGTTGCATTTGGACCATACTTGTTTTCGGTACAATTAAATATTTCTGTTTCGAAGATATTTTGGACTCTCCTTGGAAAGAACCACCTATTATACAGTTTTAATAATTTTTATTTGCTGGCACTGCCATCCTATCTGCCTTTAGCCAAACTAAACATTAGGCTTTTTTAAAGAAGCCGCTCTTAAGTGACTTTGGTTACATGGTATCCGTGGTTTTATGTAACTTGATTACTTCTGATTTTCAAAGTTGTGATTTTACACATTAAGGTTTTTAATTTAGGCATACTCTACTACGGTGATGCCTTCGAGTTTAAAGCACACTTGCTATCCAAGAAAAATTATTTCCTGTTTATCGTAAGGTGTGTGGACCAATGCAGGAAATGACTCATGAAAAACTGGGAATGGCTAGGCTAGCTTGCTTTAACTGAATTAGATTCTTACTTCATCTGAACAGCAAACATACTTTGTCAGAGTGGAATAAGAAGAACAGCAGAAGGAGAAGTACCGGTAGCTTCATTATAAAGCACAAGAGGGATGGGGAAGCAAACACCTTTTCAACTGAGCTTGCTTAGGACATTCCCTAGGATTAGTAAGTACAGAAAAATACTTCCAAATAAAGCATGCCCTTTACTAATTTGAAAATGTACCAGCTGTGCTGAAACAGAACCAACGTGACCTCTACTTTGGATCACTGATGCAGTCAAAATGCCTTGCAAGTTTTCAGCACATCAAGCCCAAGCTGGAAAACAGAAGCCAAACAGTACATGCTTGTTTTCTGGGTCTGTTCTGACACCTACTGGCACAATAACCAGTTGCAGCAATGCTGTTACAAATAAGTACACTTAACAAATTGTTCTTATGCCAGGAAGTGGAAAAGTAAATAAAATCAGAACATCTTTGATGTACAGTTATCCAAAGGAACAGTATTTCTTTGATCCATTCATTCCGTTTTTTAAAAATAAACACAGACTATTTTTTCAGCTAGCCAACTGGAATAACAACAACAAGGTTTATTGGTATGCATAAAAACAAGTAACTCAGTC